AAATTTCAGATCATTGGTACCATGTTTTTTATTGCTCAATCACTTGACCCTGTATGGCACAAGATTGCAAGCTTCTATCATAAAATTGGGTTATTTATTTGATGCAACGAAACATGCATTCACAGCAGACGGAAATTCGTTTGAGATGTTACTGGATTTTTGTATTCAGTTTTCCATTTCAACCACCATCATCACTTAGTAAGCTGAGATCGCGCATTGGGATACTGACTGTGCATAAATGCGCAGTGTAGTGTCATCAGAAGACTGAATGTTTGAGAATATTTTGCACCATTACGCCATTTCAAATATTATATTAATTCACAGACAACAAAATAAAGATTTTCAATAACATACAAGTTTTCCCACAATTGATGATTGTATGGCAATTACATGCCTTCGCCAGTTTTACTTTGGAAGAAGTTTGAAACATAACAGAAAAGGGGCTACATGGCTACATCTTGTTTTTTTTTGAATTTTAATCAAGCATGATTTTTTAATTTTTTTTTTTACACATGTCTATTTTAGAAACAAAAACAATAAATGTGTAGGTAGGCATTTTAACAATTGCACAATTAATATTGGATGAAAACGTCATTACCGATATAAATCATTCTGTTCAAACAAGATCACATTTAATTTAGTCAGTTTTCATAATGAAATACATAATAACATGTACTTATAAATTTGAATAAGGTTCAACAGCCTTTTCATTTAGTGCCAGATTATACACCATAAAACCTCTGGTTTAGGTGTCACACTCAGAGAAGAGTGAAAGGCCTTTGGTTCATAGGGACTGCGAAATGTTGGAATTGAATCCCCCCCCAAAAATCACATAATGTAATATGCATTATTTTTTTATAATTTTGTTGATAACGAAAGTAAAGTATGTTCTAAAAGAAGTTTTGAATAAATACAAACACGAATACATTGCTTAGTGGTTAGTACCGGTAGCGAATGATCACGGTAGCACAATCTGGTCATTCTGTGTTTCGCAAGTGAATAACTTACTTGTTTTCCAAGTATTGCAATTGTTGATTATTATTCAGTAATGATTATAATAACGCACAAACAATTAATTCGTTGAATTTTTATGAATTGGAAGTAATATTCAACTTAGTTTCATCGTAAACGAATGATTTCTGTGGAATGTAAATGCTCGATACCATTCAATATCCGCCATGTTCCCATTTACACGTGGCTCATTTAAATATGTTAATGATGGCTCAGTGACCTCGTGATGAACGCAACGCGGTAGTAGAGATTCACCGATGTTGTACAAGATCTTTATGCTTTGATTTTGACGGGGAAAACGGCATGATTTCTTTTTAAATCCAAAAATTAGTTGTTTTCAAAGCATTCAAAGAATAATTTAACATTGTTCACAGAATATAACAGCTCATTGTCGAAACGAAGCTTACCCATTCAGGCTATTCACAATAACATCATACTCTTGGATAGGTGTCAATGACTACGGTAAATGAAATATCCAAAATATTAAAAAAAAAAAACTGCCGAAAAAACGCCGGGCGATTTCATAGTCTGTTGCAGACTACTCGACCGACCGTCCATACACGTGTTGTCACTGTGCATCCGCCATGTTGAATCGCAGGAGATCGGCAAAATCTTCATTACAACTAACAGTTTAATGCTCACAACATAAAAAATACGAATATAATCATAGGCAACCTACTATTATATAATGAATAAATTGATCGATACAGGGACACCCCCCCCCCCCAAGTTGTG